CCATTAAATCGGGTGCCACATTAGGGTTCAGGCTTCAAGCTTCGTGGTTAGGGTTAAGCGTTCAGGGGCTCGCCAACCCATGCTGGGAAAGCGAAGCTTGTGTCTAGTAGAATTTTTGCGTGGGCTGGGTGATGAGGAAGATGCGCGATAGACCTAATCCCTGGACCGCGGACTCGTACCAACAATCGTAGCCCTACAGTCCCAAAGTGCCTTTATTTCGATAGTGACAAGAAGCGGCGATTGCTTGCCTTCAAGGTCTGCAGAGGGCAGAAGCGATACCACCGATACTGTAGAGTGCTCAAGCACTTGGCCATGTGCAGCGAATGCAGTATGGAAGGATCTCTAAGCGTTTGACCTGCTGCTAAACCCTTTCGCGTGCTCAAGGGAATGCAGGCAAAGGCCCCGCATCCGGAGCGAAGCGGTTTGTGTTGGGCGGTATTCTAACTAGGGGTTCTAAAATTGGGCTCTTACGGCCGGATTTTCGTAGTCTTGCAGGAGGTGAACGGACTTCTTCTTTGTTGACAAGCTCTTGTGTAGGACCTTGACGGCAACCCACAGCCCCTAAGCACTCAATCTTGGGGGGCAACACTCTGAAATTGTAAAAGCCATAAGCTCTAAAAACCCGTAAGCCGCAAATCTGAGAGCCTTAACACCCCAAACTTTAAGACCCCTGAGCTCCAAGCCTCAAACTCCATAGGCCCTTTTTTGCGTTTTCTTCTCCTCCGTTATTATCTTGGGGTCTGCTAGCTTATCTTATAGTAAGTTTCAAGGATCAATTGAAGATAATGCTGTTAACAGAGGTCAAAGGGGATGCAAGTCCTTCCCAGGCACAACCTGGAAGGGACCGCAGGGCGGACTGTGGGCCGAGGCCGGGGCCAAGTCTCTCTGTTTCGGGGTTTGGGGCTTACTTAAGGATTGAAAGCGGATTCAGAAATTATCCGCGATTCAGAAACTCCGATTCAGAAACTATTTGGACCGATTCAGAAACTATTTGGACCGATTCAGTAACTGCGACTCAGAAACTATTTAGACCGATTCAGAAACTATTTGGACCGATTCAAGAAACTTGGCCGATTCAGAAGCTACGATTCAGAAACTATTTCGTCCGACTCAGAAACTATTTCGCCCGACTCAGAAACTATTTGGCCCGGTTCAGAAACTGCGATTCCGAAACAGCTCGACCGATTCAGATACTATTTTGCACCCTATGATAAGATGAATGGAGTGACAGAGGGAAAGCCAGGTAGAGACATGAGACATATGTTAAAACCCTCCTTTTCACCTTGCCATAAGACGACTGACAAAGGCAAAGCCAGGTAGAGACAAAAACCACCCCCTTTTCACCTTGCCACACGATGACTGACAAAGGCAAAGCCAGGTAGAGACATACATTAAACATCCCCCCTTCTCACCTTGCCATAAGATGACTGACAAGGGCAAAGCCAGGTAGAGACATATGGTAAACCCCCCTTTTTCACCTTGCGATAAGATGAACGGAGTCACAGAGGGAAAGCCAGGTAGAGACATATTTCCTCCCCCTTTTCAGCTTGCCATAAGATGAATGCAGTGGCTAAGGCAAAGCCAGGAAGATACGTATGTTAAAACACCCCCCCTCCTCACCTTGCGATAAGATGAATTGAGTGACAAAGGCAAAGCCAGGAAGAGACATATGT